TTTTATTTTTTCAATGATTTTGAATTTTGCTCCACACCGTTCTCCCACTCTATCCAGGATCTCCCACACAGGTCCCCCTCCAAGTGGCTGACAGTGGTGGTTGGGCACGATCTAGTTCTTATGGTCTCACAGCTGTGTATGCTGAGGATCGCATGGTGTTCCAGTCACTTGGACTAATTGTTTCCATGCATCTTTGGTTTTCTTCATTCTTCTTTGCACTGGATGAGGAGAGACCTGTCATTGCATTTAGATGGCCACTTGCAAGCTTTTAAGATCCCAGTTGTTACTTGCCAAAGTAAGATGTGGAACAATGTTTTTGTGTAGTATGTTATGCCAATTGAGCTTGATGTCCCCTGTGGCCATGGTCGCAAGGCCACAGATCCAACCACTCCCTCTGGGTAGCTGGCTGTGACCAAGAAGTGACTACAACCGTGTCCCTTGTCAGCTCTACTTTATACCTGGGAATTCTTACAGAACATACAAATACACTTGTAGAAACATTATCTGCCAACCCTATACATGGTCATGGGCACACTCCCCCCTGCATTGACATACCTAATAGTTCAGCCTGTCCACCCATCTGTCCGCCCATGTATCAATTTTTGCCTTCACTGACAACATAGTACTGTACGTGCAAAAGGGTTCATCTTCATTGTCTGTACCTCCCATGCACCTCTCTATGTCTTCCTCTTCTCAGTGCCACAGTGTTGATCACTCACATTTGGTACATTGCCCTTCTCTTCACCCAAATCAATACCTGTCTCTACCTATTTAATAGTGTTCCCTCCCCTCTTCTCCCACCCCTGGTAACCAACAAAGAAAATTTCCTTCCATATAGAAACCTTTCCTTGACTTTTTACAATAACAGACTAATAAAATATTTGTCCTTCTGTGACTGACTTATTTCACTCAGCATAATGTCCTCCAAGTTCATCCACATTATGCGGTGTTTTGCAGATTATACATTATTCTTTAGTGTTGCATAGTATTCCATTGCGTGTATGTACCCTGGTTTGCTTATCCTTTCTTCTGTTGATGGGCACCTAGATTATTTCCATCTTTTTGCTATTGTAAATAGTGCTGCAGTGAACATGGGTGTGCATATATCTGTTCTTGTCATGGCTTTCACTTCTTTAGGGTATATGTCTAGTAATGGAATGTCGGGGTCAAATGGTATTTCTAATTCCAACTTTTTAAGGAATCCCCATACTGCTTTCCACAATGGTTGTATCATTTTACAGTCCCACCAGCAGTGTATGAGAGTCCCAATCTCTCCACAACCTCGCCAACATTTGTTATTTTCTGTCTTATTAAACTTTGCTACTAGTGCTGGGGCAAGATGGTATCTCATTGTCATTTTGATTTACATCTCTAATGGCTAATGATTGTAAGCATTTCTTCATGTTTGTTGGCTGCCTGAATATCCTCCTTGATGAAGTGTCTATTCATGTCTTCTGCCCATTTTTTAATTGAATTATTTGTCTTTTTGTTGTTGAGGTATTGGAGTTTTCTATAAATTCTAGGGATAAGTCCCTTGTCAGATATGTTGTTGTCAAATTCT